TTTTTTTATCTATTTTAAGAGATGGTTAAAATTTAAAGTGATACAAACTATAATTATTAAACGAATTTATTTGACACTAGGCTTTTCGTATAAACATAAGCTTGGTCTAAATTGATTATGCGTCAGACAACGAATCAATCACCTAAAATAATTCAACAATTTATAACTTTTCAAAACAAAAATTGTTTTAGATGTTTGATAACGTTTGTAATTTTTTATTTATAAAAATCATATTTGGCATACCTTTAAAAATGTGTTTGTGAATTCAAGTGGGGTAGCTGGAGGAGATTTACTAGCCAGATGATTGTCGACAGTAAAGTATTGGAGACTCACCAAAGGGGATTAGGAAGTGGTCGAGGAGAGAATGAAAAAATATTTACAAAACAATGAAAAACATTTTTTCCCCATATACTTTGAAAACTATTTTCATTTTCTGGAAACAAAAATAGATATTAAACAAATTTTTGTTACCATTTTTCAAAAAATTTATGAACATAGGAAACCATAAACATAAATGTTACTAAACAAGTGTAACTTGGTATTTAGCTTTCTGATTTTTTTAGTTTTTGCGATTGATTTATACAAATTTAGCTTCTTATACTGTAAATTACAATGCCTTAGTGGCGGTGAGTTCAGGTTACATGGCATTTTTGGCCTGTTTTAATCCCAAGGATTGTTTGCCCCCTTAGACAATTTATGGCAACATGAGAGAGAGAGAGAGAGAGAGAGAGAGCTTGTCGATTACCCTAAAATGTGAAAAGGTTAAAAACATGGAAATAAAATTGCACAACACAAATGATACACTAACAAACACAGGTTCCACACCTAGACATTTTATGGCAAACATGTTGGTACATTCTAGCACTACAACAACACAAACAAACATCTCCTAAATAATCAGTAACTATAGTAAAAAAAAGTCAGTCAGAGATATCTGTACAAAAATGTAGTCAATATCTTCAAATTACCTCAACTAGGTTCACATCACCAATAATTCCAGCTTCTTTCACCAGCCGCTCAGACAAATCCGAAAGCCGAGCAACTTCTGTTTTGAATTCGCTAAAACACTCATCGTTAACCACACTTAACTGCACGTCAGTATCAAAATCAGCCTCGACACTCAAGCTAGCTTTATGCAGAAGCTCTTGACTCATCTCAGCGAGTTTATGGAGAGCACTAGTTGCAGCTTCAACTTCCAATTGAGCTGCCTCCAATTGGAGCTTCTCAATACCCAGTTCACCTATACTTCTCTCACCAATTCTTTCTTGTGCCAAAGTGTAAAGCTGCCTTAGATCATTAGCATCTTGAATCATCTCTTCTTTCATCTTCTTTAGTTCACTCTCTCTTGCTTCTAATCTTTCAAGGACCATTTTTAGCTCTTCATCTTTGATTGTGAGGGCTCTCTGTGCAGCAACAACTTCCATTTCCTTCATTCTCAGGCTCACTCTAGTTAACTCAAGCTCAGATTCAAGCTGTTTCTTTTGCCACTTAAAATTGTCGGTAGGCTTCTTTAACAATGGACTCGACAACTTGTTCTCCATTTCATCATATTCGTTCAATCCTTCATAATCTTCGTCATTTACAGAAATAACCAGTTTGTTAGTGAGCTCGACAATCCGTTCAACCACAGTTTCAGCTACGGAGAATTTTAGCTTTGTATCGTTTAGCTCGTGTCGCATTGTCTCAACATGTTCCTCTTTCTGCTTTAGCATGTTTGTAGCTTGCAAGAGCTGGTCTTCTCTGCTGTTCACAAGGGTCCTAAACTCAATTATCTCCTCATTTACTTCCTCTAAGCTCTTCCTCACATTAAAGAGTTCTGAATCTTTCTCCTCCAAAACAAGCTCGAGAGAAGCCCGCTCAGACTTCAAGCGCTGTATCTCTAGTCTGGCTTCTACCAATTCTGACTCTTTAACCTGAAGAAGATTTTGTGTTTCTCCAAATTTGGTACTTTCTCGGTCGAGCTCCTCCTGGAGAAACGACTTCTCTTGAATGGCCTGTTTCAGAGAAGATCTCTCTTTATCTAGTTCCTCCTGCAACTGTTCAATAAGCTCCTTTTCCATGGATAGATCCCGCTCAAGCTCCTTGTTTCGAGCCTCTGCAACCCGAAGCTTCACTCTCTCACTCTCTATGTCTATTTGGGCATCTTTCAAACTTTTCATGTAAGACGTGATGCTTATCTTTTGTTCTTCAAGTTCTATGAGTTGGGCCTGTAACAGCTGTTCCTGGTATTCCATTTTCTGTCTAGAGGAAGCCAAAGCTTTCTGAGATGAAACTAATTCAGACCTCACATCAGCAAGAAGCTTCTTCACTCTTCTAAAGTCTTCCAAAGTTTCAGTAGCTTCTCCATTCCTCTTAGATGCTTCCTCTGCCAGTTTCTTTAGCTCGGTCTGTGTTAAAAGCCACTCCATTGCCTTCTTTTCCAAACTGGCCTCGGCAACTCTTAGCTTCTCCTCTTCAAGTTCCCTCAATGTCACAGAAATTTCTAGTTCTTCTTCTTTCTCTTGAATTGCTTCTCGAAGTTGTTGAAGTTCAACTTCTTGTTTCCTCACAATTTCATTGGTTTCATCCAGAAGATGAGCCTTAGATTTTAGTTCAAATTCAGTAGCGACAGCTTCATCACTCTTCATCATCAATTCATTTTTCATTTTATTCATTTCATCTTCTTTCAAAGCTAGCGCAGATTGTGCAGCAGAAATTTCATCAACCCGCTCTTTGATTTGAAGCTTTAGATCTTCAATTTGCATGCTTTGAGAAGCTAATTTAAGATTAGCCAGCTTCAGCTCCTCTTTTAGTTTTTCATGCTTAGAACAAGCGGCTGCTATTGCTTCCTCTCGATGCACCAACTCATCCTTGGCACGATTTAGTTCTATCTGTTCCAATAACACTTCCTTTTCCGCATCTTGTAGTTGTTCTTCCTTCTTATTCAGGGCAAACAGAGCAGCTTGAAGATTCTCCAGGATTCCAAGATTAAACCCTACCTGATCATCCGGAGGGAGATGAGAATCTTTACCCATTTCTTCTAGTTTCTGTGTCTCAGCAAACAACTTCTCCAAAAGAATCCTTGCAGGTTCGGTTGCCCCATTATCATTGACACTAGATTGTTTGTTGTCCAACACAGATTTAATAACCCACGAGGGATGACTCTTTTTTTTGGGGACTATAACGAGCAATATCTTCAAATTACCTCAACTAGGTTCACATCACCAATAATTCCAGCTTCTTTCACCAGCCGCTCAGACAAATCCGAAAGCCGAGCAACTTCTGTTTTGAATTCGCTAAAACACTCATCGTTAACCACACTTAACTGCACGTCAGTATCAAAATCAGCCTCGACACTCAAGCTAGCTTTATGCAGAAGCTCTTGACTCATCTCAGCGAGTTTATGGAGAGCACTAGTTGCAGCTTCAACTTCCAATTGAGCTGCCTCCAATTGGAGCTTCTCAATACCCAGTTCACCTATACTTCTCTCACCAATTCTTTCTTGTGCCAAAGTGTAAAGCTGCCTTAGATCATTAGCATCTTGAATCATCTCTTCTTTCATCTTCTTTAGTTCACTCTCTCTTGCTTCTAATCTTTCAAGGACCATTTTTAGCTCTTCATCTTTGATTGTGAGGGCTCTCTGTGCAGCAAGAACTTCTGTTTCCTTCATTCTCAGGCTCACTCTAGTTAACTCAAGCTCAGATTCAAGCTGTTTCTTTTGCCACTTAAAATTGTCGGTAGGCTTCTTTAACAATGGACTCAACAACTTGTTCTCCATTTCATCATATTCGTTCAATCCTTCATAATCTTCGTCATTTACAGAAATAACCAGTTTGTTAGTGAGCTCGACAATCCGTTCAACCACAGTTTCAGCTACAGAGAATTTTAGCTTTGTATCGTTTAGCTCGTGTCGCATTGTCTCGACATGTTCCTCTTTCTGCTTTAGCATGTTTGTTGCTTGCAAGAGCTGGTCTTCTCTGCTGTTCACAAGGGTCCTAAACTCAATTATCTCCTCATTTACTTCCTCTAAGCTCTTCCTCACATTAAAGAGTTCTGAATCTTTCTCCTCCAAAACAAGCTCGAGAGAAGCCCGCTCAGACTTCAAGCGCTGTATCTCTAGTCTGGCTTCTACCAATTCTGACTCTTTAACCTGAAGAAGATTTTGTGTTTCTCCAAATTTGGTACTTTCTCGGTCGAGCTCCTCCTGGAGAAACGACTTCTCTTGAATGGCCTGTTTCAGAGAAGATCTCTCTTTATCTAGTTCCTCCTGCAACTGTTCAATAAGCTCCTTTTCCATGGATAGATCCCGCTCAAGCTCCTTGTTTCGAGCCTCTGCAACCCGAAGCTTCACTCTCTCACTCTCTATGTCTATTTGGGCATCTTTCAAACTTTTCATGTAAGACGTGGTTTTCCAGAATTGTTCTTCAAGTTCTATGACCGGGCGAGCGGGGGTGCTCACGAAGTGACCTTCCCCAATCGTACCCAAGTTCCCGAGCCGAGGCAACTTTGGTGATGACGGACACGTGGCCTTTTGGCACCGAGTCAGGGTTTCCTAAATTTCCCAAAATAAAATATTTAGGTGGCGACTTTGTATCTGGCAAAGCAGTCCATGTTTGGCACTTCTTTCAAAAATCTGTTTTCTCAAAACGATTTGCCGGATTTGGACTCTTTGGTTCAGACTTAGAACCGTGACAAATTTGAGAGTCCTGAGCTGTAGTGACCCCAAATGAACAGAACGGGAGCTCGTTCCTCCCGGGGCGTTCGGGGACGTCTACAGCATATTTTATTATAATGTTGGGACCAATGGAGGTGTATCTCTAGATACTGTTAACACTTAACTTCCGAGTTGATCCCTTTTGTGTTCAGTAATATAAATGGTGCATGGAATGTTATGTATGTATAGTAATGCGACATGATCCTGGTATTTAGACACAGCTCTATGAATGTTATTCTTCCATTATTTTGCTTCCGTTCAGGCCCCGAGATTGAGTAACATTTAATGAACGAAGTTTAGGCCTCGAGTTAGGCCGGTCATGTCCAAACTTTTAAGGGCAGTTTTGGATTGTGACAGTTGGTATCAGAGCACGAGTTGCTACCTCACGCACGAGTTCATTGAGCTTTAAGGCGTCTAGTAAAGATTTAAGTCATACTTTCATGTGACTTTCGGTGCATATACAACAATCATGGATATATATACATATTGGTAATGATCATGATCCATGCCTACTTGTGCATTTTTGTGTGTATTATAACTAACCATTATGTAGATCATGGTGAGAATCAGAATCGATGATCCGGAAGATCCTACCTCTGTAAGCTTGGATAGAATGGAAAGGATGATTATGGAGATGGCAGAAACTTTGAGGCAGCAACAGCAACAACCACCACCACCCATACATGTACCACCGCCAGGTATGCAAGATTATCAAGCTGAGGATCATACAATTACACTCACGAAGGAATTCAAAAAGATGAAGCCGCCTTCGTTCAAATGAGGAATTGGACTAATGAAAGCAGAAGCGTGGGTGTTGGGTATAGAAAAGTTATTTGAGGCTTTTCCTTGTACTGAAGCTCAAAAAGTGCAACTTGCTGCCTTCACTCTTGAAGATGAGGCACGAAGATGGTGGATGCTCACGAAAACTGTACATCAAGGATTAACATGGGGTAGATTTTTGGAACTGTTTTATGACAAGTATTTTCCTCAAAGTATGCGAGATAAGAAGGTGACTGAGTTTGAGACCTTGAGGCAGGGGAACAGGACTATTGTAGAGTATGAGTCTCAATTTGCTGAATTGGCCGTTTCGCACCACATATGGTGTATACGGACTACAAGAAGGCAAGAATGTTTGAAGGTGGGTTACGAACTGCTATTCTCGACCAAATTAATGTGTTGAAACTACCTACGTATGTCGATGTGTTGGAAAGGGCAGTGATTGCGGAAGGTAATGTTGTCGCTCAAAGTCGGGTCTCGAAATGGAGAGGGAAAAGACAAAATATCCAAACCTCAAGGGGCTCGGTGACACCGCCAAGTAAGAAGTTGAATTCAGGAACTTCTAGTCCATCTGCTTCTACCCGTGATTCTGCTACAATTTGTTCGGATTGTGGGAAGAGACACCGTGGAATTTGTTATCAGGTAACGGGAGCATGCTTTAAGTGTGGCAAGACAGGTCATTTGGCCAGAGAGTGTCCATAAAAGAGTCGAAAAAATGGAAATAGAACCACCGCAAGTTCAGTTGGATCAACTCCTACCCCAACTACAAAGGCAACCACGAAACCCTCCAACGCTACAGACACCACCAAACAAGGAAGGGTATTTCAGCTAGTTCCGGGCGACGTACAAAATACCGAGGTTATGGTATAAGGCACATTTTTCGTTAATGGTAATTTTGCACATTTGTTATTTGACTCGGGCTCTACCCATTCCTTTGTATCAAAAGCATTTGCTAGTTACTTGAGTAGGCCAATGGAACCATTACCTTATGTTTTGTGTGTATCTTCACCTTCAGGGGAGTCCATGGTATGTGCATTTATTTATTTTTCATGTGAAATCCTAATCAGGGATGTTTGGGTAGATGCCAACTTGTTGCCTCTTGATATGGCTTATTTTGACATAATTTTGGGGATGGATTGGTTAAGCAAGTATCACGCGACTGTAGATTGTGTCTCGAAGCAAGTTATGTTCCAACTCCCAGGACAATCTGAGTTTGTTTTTAAGGACCAGAGGGTAGTTTCCCCACCCTATCTGATTTCTGCAATAAAGGCATGTAAGTTACTCCAGAAGGGTAGTCAAGGGTATTTGTGTAGTATCGTGGGTGAACAACTAGTGAATGGAGGCATTAATGCAATTCCAATTGTGCGGGATTTTTCGGATGTTTTTACAGATGAATTACCGGGAGAGCTAATTGATTGTGAAATTAAGTTTACAATTGATATAATGCCAGGAACTCATCCTATTTCTAAAACCCCTTATAGAATGTCTCCCGCTGAAATGAAGGAGTTGAAAATTCAACTACAAGACCTGCTTGATAAAGGATTCATTCATTCGAGCACTTCCCCTTGGGGCGCACCAGTCCTTTTTGTGAAAAAGAAAGACGGGACCCTTCGGCTGTGCATGGATTATAGAGAGCTTAATAAAGTAACCATAAAGAATAAATATCCTTTGCCCAGGATCGATGATCTGTTTGATCAATTACAAGGTGCACAAGTCTTTTCTAAAATAGATTTGCGGTCTGGGTATCACCAATTGAAGGTTAAAGCTGAGGATGTCAAGAAAACTGCCTTCCGGACCCATTATGGACATTATGATTTTTTAGTTATGCCATTCGGGGTCACTAATGCACCAACGGCCTTCATGGATTTGATGAACCGAGTTTTTAAGCCCTACTTGGATGACTTTGTAGTTGTGTTTATTGATGATATCCTTATCTACTCAACAAGTGTAGCAGCTCATGAGAACCATCTATCGATAATTCTTCAAACTCTTCGGGATAAGAAACTGTATGTGAAATTAAAGAAATATGAATTTTGGTTACATGAAGTAGGATTTTTGGGACATGTGGTGACAAAGGAGGGCGATGTCGTTGATCTGCACAAGATTGAAGCTATTGTGAAGTGGCCGACGCCTACAAATGTGTCAGAAGTGTGTAGTTTCCTGGGTTTAGCTGGATACTACCGACGGTTTGTTCAAGACTTTTCCAAAATTATGGTGCCGCTTACTCAGTTAACCCAGAAAGGTGTATTATTTGAGTGGTCGGAGCAACGGGAATTTGCCTTTCAGGAATTGAAGACAAGATTAACTACAACACCTGTTCTGGCCTTGCCATCTGGTAATGAAGGATTTGAGATTTATAGTGACGCTTCCCACAATGGTTTGGGTTGTGTACTTATGCAAAATGGGAGGGTTATTGCATACGCCTCTCATCAACTTAAACCCCATGAAAAGAACTACCCCACACACAACCTTGAGCTAGCTACAGTGGTCTTTGCTTTGAAAATATGGCGTCACTATCTATATGGGGCTAGATGTGAGGTTTATACTGATCATAAGAGTCTTAAGTACTTTTTCACTCAAAAAGAGCTGAACATACGACAAAGATGGTGGTTAGAGCTTATTAAAGACTATGACCTACAAATTCATTACCACCCCGGTAAAGGTAATACGGTTGCAAATGCCCTTAGTTGAAAAGGTACAGGGAATTTAGCGAGTTTACTTACAAGACAGAAAGAGCTATTACATGATTTGGAAAGAATGAATATGGAAATTGTGTTTCATGGCCATGATGCGGTACTGGCAATGGTGTCAGTTCAACTAATACTTCTGGAGGAAATTAAGCAACGGCAACTGGAAGATGAATTTCTACAGAAAATTTATGGCGAAATGGAAACGAAACCAAGGCCTGGGTTCATAACTGAAAATTCGATGGTAAAATTCCAGGGTAGGTGGTGTGTCCCCAATGTACCAGAAGTCAAGAAGAGAATCATGGAGAAAGCGCATAGCTCCAAATTTGCAATGCATCCGGGTAACACAAAAATGTACCATGATCTGAAGTAGAATTTTTGGTGGCCGGGAATGAAGAAGGAAATTGCAGAATTTGTCTCAAAATGTTTGCATTGTCAACGGGTGAAAGCAGAGCACCAACGACCGGCAGGCCTACTACAACCCCTCCCAATTCCAGAATGGAAATGGGAACACTTAACTATGGATTTTATTGTGGGTTTACCGCGAACTCCCCGGGGTATGAACTCTATATGGGTTATCATTGACAGACTAACCAAGTCAGCTCATTTTCTCCCTATAAAGACTCAATACAATGCAGATAAGCTGGCCACCTTATATGTGGATGAAATTGTGCAACTACATGGTATTCCAGTTTCAATCGTTTCTGATAGAGATCCGAAGTTCGTATCAAGATTTTGGCGAAGTCTGCAGGAGGCCTTGGGAATAGAATTGAAATTCAGTACAACCTTCCACCCTCAAACCGATGGACAATCTGAGAGAACTATACAAACATTGGAAGACATGTTTCGGATGTATGCCTTGGACTTCAAAGGAAGTTGGGAAACTCACCTACCGTTGGTGGAATTTGCATACAACAACAGTTACCACTGAAGTACTGGAATTTACTGAGTAATTTACTGCGAATTTACTAAGTAATGTACTGACTAATTTACTGGCAATTTAGTGAGAATTTACTAAGTAATTTTCTTAGAATTTACTGGGAATTTACTGAGTGATGTAGTAAATAATTTACTGAGAATTTTTTGAAATTTATTCGGAATTTTCTAAGTAACTTGTTGAGAATTTACTGGGTAATTTATTGAGCAATTTATTGAGAATTCACTAGGAATTTACTGAGTAATGTATTGAATAATTTACTGAGAATTTTTTGAAAATTTACTGGGAATTTTCTGAGTAATGTACAGAGAATTTCCTGAGTAATTTACTGGGAATTTACTGAGTAATCTACTAACAATTTACTGAGTAGTTCACTTGAAATTTACCAAGAATTTACCAGGAATTTATTGAGAATTTATTGAAAGTTTATTGAGTAATTTATTGTTTAATTTACTGGAAATTTACTGAGTTATTTACTGAGAATTTACTGCAAATTTACTAAGTAATTTACTGAAAATTTACGGAAAATTTATCGGGAATTTATAAGGAATTTACTGGGAATTTACTTAGTACTATACAGAGAATTTAGCGCAAATTTACTGAGTAAGTTACTGAGAATTTACCAAGTAATTTACTAGTAATTTACTGAGTAATTTACTTAGTAATTTTTTGTTAATTTACTGGAATTTAACGTGGAATTTACTGAGAATTTACTGGAAATTTACTGAATAATTTACTAAGAATTTACTGAGAATTTACAGAGTAATTTACTAAGAATGTACTGAGTAATTTACTTAGAATTTACTTGTAATTTTCTGAGAAATTTACTGTGTAATTTACTTAGAATTTACTGGGATTTACTTAGTAATTTACTTGTAATTTTATGGGAATTTACTGAGTAATTTACTTTGTAATTTATTGAGAATTTACTGGGAATTTACTAAGTAATTTAGAGAAAATTTATTGAGAACTTACTGAGTAATTTACTAAGAATTTACTGAGAATTTTCTGAGCAATGTACTTAGAATTTACTGAGAATTTATGAGGAATTTATAAA